CTGAGGTGACCGGCTGCTGGGCCCCCCAGGAGAAGAGGCTGGCCCTGTGGGTACATACCGGGTCGCAGGACCCCCTGCGACCCGGTATGTACCCACTGAATGTGGGGCCCGGACGACCTGAGCAGTCCGAGCCCCCCAGGACCGCTGGGCCCATGACAACCGTTGCGGTTGTCATGCCCTGATGGCGGCCCTGCACACACTATTAATGAGTAAGTATCTATGTATATGTGACATCAAATTAAAGCTCTGTTTGCCCTCTAAAAAACAATATATAATATGTGTTGGTGCAATAAATGACAGAGATGCAAATTGGGTTTGAACACAAACAGCATAAAATGCAAAAATGGCTTGTGTCCTTAAGCGTAAGACAAGCTTCTGAAGCTGTGTCCTTAAGGGGTTAAGGACTGAACTGTTTTGGATATATTGTAGGTTAAGGAACCAGAGATGTTTTAACACTTTTGTGGTGTTTGTGTTTAGTAGTAATTTTCCTCTCTCTCATTTACTGTTCCCACACAAGTTATGTATTGTTTTTTTTTTTTCAGGACAAAGAGGACTTTCTTTACATACCATTATTTATATCATGTCATATAATTTACTTTATAAAAATTATGATATGGTGAAGAATTGAAAAAAAAAAAGATTTTGGACTTTTACTTGAAAAATCTTTTACTGATCTACAAAAGCTAATGAAAAAAAACTGCTAAACAGATTCAAACTTTTGTCCTGAGTTTAACCCCTTAAGGACGGAGCCAAATGTACACGTTGTGAACAAAACAAAATGTAAACAAAACCTGGCATTTGCGCTACATGTCTGTCCAACCGTAATTCACCTCTTTCATAGTAAATGCACTCACCCTTATTATATATCATTTTATTCAGGAAACAGGGCTTTCATTTAATATCAAATATTTAGCTATGAAACATAATTTAATATGAAAAAAATGGGAGAAAATACGTTTTTTTTGGATTTTTTTAGTTCTACATGACATTTTAACGGTCAATGTCATAATACTGTTTGCTTTTACTGCAATAAAATACACATATTTGTATTCAATAAAGTCTCACGTGTAAGACAGTACCCCCTATGTACAGGTTTTATGGCGTTTTGGGAAGTTACAGGGTCAAATATAGCATGTTACATTTGAAATTGAAATTCGCCAGATTGGTTACGTTGCCTTTGAGACTGTATAGTAGCCCAGGAATGAAATTTACACCCATAATGGCATACCATTTGCAATGGTTGCAAATGGGGTATGTCCAGTCTTTTTTAGTAGCCATTTGGTCACAAACACTGGCCAAAGTTAGCGTTCGTATCTGTTTGTGTGAAAAATGCAAAAAATGCCAATTTTGGCCAGTGTTTGTGACTAAGTGACTACTAAAAAAGACTGGACATACCCTGTTTGCAATACCTTGGGTTGTCTACTATTGCAAATGGTATGCCATCATAGGGGTAATTTTCATTCTTGGGCTACCATAGGGTCTCAGAGGCAATGTAACCAATCTGGCGAATTTTAATGTGAAAAAAATGAAACGCAAGCCTTATATTTGACGCTGTAACTTTTGAAAACACCTTAAAATCTGTATATGAGGGGTACTGTTGTACTCGGGAGACTTAGCTGAACACAAATATTTGTGTTTCAAAACAGTAAAAAGTATCGCAGCAATAATATCGTCCGTGTAAGTGCTGTTTGAGCGTGAAAAATGCAAAAAACGTCACTTTTACTGGCGATGTCATCGTTGTAATACATTTTACTGTTTTGAAACACTAATATTTGTGTTCAGCAAAGTCTTTTGAGTAAAACAGTACCCCCCATGTATAGGTTTTATGGTGTCTTGGAAAGTCACAGGGTTAAATATAATGAAAATCCCTGGACTTTTGGCCTGGGTTGTCAGGCAGGTGCCGCTAATTGTAATTAATAAAATGACCTAATTATGTAAAATTATTACATAAATATATACTTAGAATTATTATATATAATGTGTAAATAATTTTTTTTAATTATTTTTATTTATATATAGTTATATGTATAGTGAACTATATGTATATACTTATGTATATAGATATATATATTATTTCGTTCTACGTGTATTTTGATATCAATATATATATATATATGCACATACATACACACACACACACACACATATATATATATATTAATTTTAAAATACAGTTAGAACGAAATTACACATATATATATTTACGTATTTACATATGTATTTATTTTATATTATATATATATATATATATATATATATATATATATATAATGAAAATGATATTAATCAATATCATTGTACGTGTACTTTGATATAAATATATATAATATATATATTAATATTAAAATACACTTAGACAGTGTATGTGTATTTATGTGTATGTGTGTATATGTGTGTGTGTATATATATATATATATATACACACACACACACACACACACACACACACACTTAGATCATGTGTATAATAAATATATATATGATCTAAGTATATATAATGTTATTTTACACTGTTTTAAACTTTATTTTTTTTTCAGACAGCAGGGCGAGTACCTGTCATAACAGGCACTCCCCCTGCTGGCATTGCTATGGACTGCTATGCCGTCCATGTGATCGTGAGGTCCTCGCAAGGACCTCGCGATCACATGGCCCAGGGGGGCCAAAGAGGACAGAGGGGGACTTCCTGGGCTCCCAGGTAACTCCCCATACCGCAATTGCCGTCGTGGGATCGCCGGCGACAGGGTAAGTACAATGGACGGCTTGGGCGTTCTATGCCGCCCTCTGGCATTTAGAGCCGGTTCCTTAAGGACGGCATAGAACGCCCGCCATCCTTAAGGGGTTAAATCACATAGCACAACAAAAAAAGGGGATTCAGTTCCACCATATGGCCATATCGTCTTAAATTCAACCATTATGCCACAGTATCCCATAATTGGTGGATTCTACACAGATTCCAAGGTGGGAGACAAATTTAATAATGCTAGTGCTAATTGAATTTAATTAATCTGTCCTAAGAACATTGTGAATATATATAATAAAAAAAATCAATGTGATAAAAACACAATTCAAAAAATACTGTGTCAAAACTAAACATTTAAGTTTGACAGTGCTGTGATATATGTACTCACAATGCATGTTATCCATCTGCTCTATATCAAATGAAAATTGTAATTAAAGGTTCAATGTAGGACTCACCAATATTGAGGTACTGTGCCATGGTACCACTCTGTGTGTGATTTCTCTGTACTTTACACGATATGGCCATATGGTTGAACGGAATCTCCATATTTGTTTATAGGTGCATCTGACATAACTGTATTTTAGCACAGATGGTGGCTTGGGCTCAGATGTGGCCATTTGGAAAATTAGGTAAGTGTTTTTCTCTTATTCACAACGATTCTTCAATACATCTGCCATCTTGTCACCCTTGAGTGCCTGGATCATCTTTTATTTCTGACCTATATTGGGGCCTGCCAGCTTCTGGTCTGAATAGGCACCTTGGGTTGCTTTTTACAAAGAGTGCAAATTCCTTTTATTCTGAACAGAACATTAACATATGAAAACATACACCATATACAAAATAGATATCAATATATCAAAATGTTTTAAAAATGAAATCTTTAATAATATTAAATCATTTTAAAAGTTTATCCAAAAATAATAACCATAACCATTTGAAAAAATAAAACAAAGAAAAATATTTATCTTTACTCAAATATATATATATTTATATATAAATAAATACATATGCCATACTGTCTATTTATATACAAAAAAATGTTTCAAGTTTCAAGAAACCACTTTCCAAGGAATAGGTTTGTTAAAATGTTGCCAGAAAGAATACTGATGGATTTACTTAGTATCCCAAATGCCAATGTATCCAAGCATTAGTATGCACAAGACATTCTTTTCATCAATTAACCCAGACACAGAAACAGAACAAGTGTGCTAATAAGTCAATTGTGGTTAATTAAATACTGAATATGTAAAACTCAGGCAAAAATAGATGAGTTATTATTTGTATTATTATTAATTCCTCTTATATAGCATCAACTTACAAGTTTAATGAGGGTGTGCAACAGAAAATAAATAAAAAAACAATACATCAGGAATAGAGAGGTAGAATAGCTGAGTCAAGGATTCTAGATAGGAGAATAGTCAGTAATAGCCAAGATCAAAACCAGAAATGTGATGAATGTGACAACCTACCAGTTGGTTTGCTTGAGAGGAACAGCAACCCCTTTGTAGACACAACTTTCAAAGATGCCTGCGAGTGATACATGTGCCTTTATTTGCAGAGGAAGCAATGAAATCAGAAGGTAGCAGACAGGAGGCTGTCAGGTGGTCAGATGGTAAGGACTGGCAGCAGAGCAGCAAGATCAAGAGTCAAGCAGAAGGTCAGAAGCCAGAAAATCCACAAATAAGTAGCAGGATGCCAGAGTTCAAAGGTCAGAGACAAGAAGCATGTTCAGAGCCAAAGCCAAAGGTCTGAATTCAAGAAGTTTTACCAGGAACTGGGATCAAGAACCCAGGAACCAGAATCAGGAACTAGGATCAGGATGCTAGGAGACTGGAGCAAGCACCAGAACAGCCAAGCACTGGCAAACTGCAGTGCTTGTTTATTTTAATAGAGATAACTGATCACATGATCGGCCCACACCTTCCTGCCAATAACCAGAAGTGACATCCACTGTATCTTTATTCCCGAAAAGAATCTGACTGTCCTTTCACCTTATATTCTTGGGAAGGATTATATTGCCATAAGCATTTATACAAGAGCTACATGATAGTTCCTTCCTTGTGAGTGCGTTTTGAATTATTATTTTTATTTTTATTATTATAGTTTTACCTTGGGTTATATAATATCAGACTATTGGTTCTCCCTAAGTGTTTATTTATTTTTCATATTGCAAGACTTACCTAAACCTGTGAGGACACCAGACTGCTCCATAAATATATATCTATTGTAAATTAGTCTGAATTGTACAATAGATATTACTATTCAGCTATACTCATATTGTTATTTGGCAGAGCCTGTATTTTCTTACTTTATACCAAGAATGCATGTTGAATACAAGAATGCAAGAAAACATGTCAAGTATTGTACCAACTTTTAATTAGTACGTTCTGCTGTCCCATTCGATTGAGGATGATAAGCCGATTAAAAACTGAGTTTAATATCCATCTGTGTACAGAAATCCTTCCAGGAGCAAATTAGGTAGCTCTATCTGATATTATCCCAATATGTATGCTAAATAAACTAAACACTTCTCTTGCAAATATTTTAGCCAGTTTGGGTGACGAGGGTAACTTTCTCAAAAGAATAAAGTGAGCCATTTTTTGAAAACCTGGCTATTATTGTTCAATTCCTAATCTGGAATGGAAAAATATGCTATAAAACCAATTTCTATACTAGCCCAAATCTTGTTTGGTATGTCCAATAGTTGTAACAGACCACAAGGAAGTGCATAGGGTAATTTGTTTTTTTGGAACATACCACAGGTCATAAAATAGTCTCTGGTGTTCTTTCATAAAGACAGCCACCTTAATTTGACAGGTCTGAGAAAGCAGGTTGGCTCCCAGTTAGATAAAGGGCTCAATTTAAAATGCTGGTGCATTTCAAATCCCTACATAATGCTGCTCCAACCTACCTATCCTCCCTAATACACAAGTATGTCCCGTCGAGGCCCCTATGCTCTGCCAAAAACCTATGTATATCCTCTGGCCGTGCTCCCACCTCTAATGCTCGCATCCAAGACTTTTTGAGGGCTGCACCTCTTCTGTGGAACTCCCTTCCCTCCTCCATAAGAATTTCACCCAGTCTCCACTCATTCAAAAAATCATTGAAAACTCACTTCTTTAAGAAAGCATATCAATTGAACTGTTAGCAGGTTTTTATCCCCCACCCTCCATGACTCCTGTCCTGCAACTGTCAGAAACTACCTACTAAGCCCTCAGTAAATACTTTTCTACCAACTTACTATGTACCCCTACTTCTATCCTTTGTGTCACTATACCCCACTCCCTCTAGAATGTAAGATCATAGAGCAGGGCCCTCCACCTCTCTGTTCCTGTATGTCCAGTTGTCTGGTTACAATTACATGTGTGTTAGTCCACCCATTGTACAGCGCTACGGAATCTGATTGTGCTATATAAATAATAAAATAATAATAAATAATAATAATAATGTGTACCTAGATGACCAGCAATCTTTCTGTCATGGTAGCAAGCATGTCTGTCTTTTTTGTGTTCAGGAGGAACATATGTTTTACCATAATGGGTTCTTTCAGGTGCTTGACCTTATTTAGCCATAACATCAGTGATAAGATTAGATTGTATCTTGAAACTGCTATTAACTATTATATGCTTTTTTATGAACAACAATACACACTTCTGTTTCAAGACATACTTGAGGTTCATACTGATGGGATGAAGCATCTGCCTTATTGTTTTTTGACCAGGCCTGTAAGTTGACACGTATTTAGTGAATACCGTGGAACCTTTTAACCTCACAAATAACTCAAAGGATTTGAGTTACAGGAATTCCTCACAGTAATTCTATTCAAGGCTTGATAGTCAATACAAGGCGTGAGATCACCATTTTTGGACACAAAGCATAATCCTGCCCCTGCTGGTGATGAAGACCTTCAAATAAATACTTTTTTTCAAGTTCTCCTTTATGTATTCTTCTATCACAAATTTTTTATGCTATACCCCTAGGTGGCATACCACCTGGTATTAGATTAATCGCACAATCATAAGGTCTATGTGGCAGCAATGACTCTGCTTTTCCTTTGTCAAATACTTCTAGGTAAGGCTCAGGTATCTCTGTCAACAAGGGTGGCATGGTTGAGATATTTATTAGGAGAAAAGGTTTTGCTTTAGTTATACACCCCTAAAGTAAATCCTTACTCCAAGAGTTAATGTCTTCTATGCATTTTTAGGCAGGGAACCCCTAAATCTACTGGAAAAGCTGAAGAAGAAATTAATGGTAATATAATTATGTATTTATGTTAAACTCCAACCTTCATTTGCAGTAAAATGGTTTTGTATGAAATCACAGGCATCTGAAGTGGTCTACCATCTATGGCCTCAATGGCTGATTGTATAGATCTTATCAGTGAAGGAAGAAAATTACTACTGGCAAAGATTAGATCTATACAATTTTCAGTTGTCCCTGAATTTATGCCACAGCATGTAATTAATTCTTCTTCCAGTTTCACGTGATGGGAATTAAAAGTCTGTGATCTTTATTTTTACTTATGGATGACATAATAGATATAAAGATCACAGTGTTCCTTCAGAGGAACTTAAGTGTAAGAGTTCTCTCTACTGGGACAAGTTAGGCGGAGATGCTCCTTTTCGCAAAAATACATGCATAACCCCCTCTCCTTCTGTATTGCCTTTCTGTTCCAGTTAACCTTGTTACCCCTATTTGCATGGGTTCAGACAGAGTCAATAGAG